TTTTTTGTGTTGTGCAGATGCATTGAGGCATAATGGACAACGTTTTTTTAGCAAACAAAGTTTCATGTTTTCGAAGGCAAGCTTTGATTTTGGGTTCTGGATTCTTCAGAGCTGGTCGGCAACACAGTGCAACGATAGTCGATATATTGGAGTGTCCTCTTGTATTTGCACACCTCGGCTAACATTTGTTGAAATATTCTTCTTTTCAAGGACAAGGTACAACGAAAGTGGAACAATAATACCTACTTATTATTAGCGAGATCTCTTAATACCCCTATAAAAGAGAAATACGAGGAATACGCACGTGAATGGATCAATTGAAGAACAAATTCGTTCAGTCTCAAATCAAATTCAGTATACTGCATGTCGGTTAGAAATGAGCTTTGTTATCAAACATCATACCCGATGGAGACTTTCGCGTCGCAAAATGGAATTTATAGTGCTAAATGGTCAACTTTTCCATCCCCGAATTATTTTAATTTAACTGTGCTCGTAGTTCATTCCATTGCTTTTGACGTTATTATTTTGGTCATAATATTCTCCGGAAAGTGTGTTGTGGTAATTTTTTTCCGAGGTTTAGTTACGGCTCCGGTGGTCAGCTATCCTACAAGAGAAGGAGACTTCGTTTTGGATACATACGCTAGCAATGTTGAAAGGGGTGCTGTACTATCTCAAATTACGGACGGGCACGAGAAACATTTCCATTGATATCTGTATGGCCAGAAGTCAGGTCAGGTCAGGAGGTTGGAGAGATTGTAAGAGCACGACGGACTGCACTTGTGGATGATAATTGGGCACCTCTAGAGAGCTCAAGAACTTGACCGTGGTTAGCATCTGATGGTAAACTGGAAAATGGAATAGAGAAAGTCAGTCTGGGAAGAGGGGGGGAAGAGGATACGGTCCAGTTTTAAAGGCATATTGGGGTCGGTGGGACTCGTTGCGGTTAGAAGATGGTCTTCTTAAAAGCGTAATAGGAAGTGATCATGGCACGACGACAAATGTACAGCTAGTGATCCCGGAGAACAGAAAGTCTGAAGTACTACGACAGATACACGGTGGTATAACGGGAGGACATCTAGGAATTACGAAAACCCTGGTTTAGATGCAGGAACGTAGGCAACCTATTGAAACGGAAGAGCCAAAAGTTACAATTTACAAAATTTCCCAATTTTTAAAGAGCGACTAAAAATTTCGATTCAATATTATAGTATTTGGTTATATACAGGGTCCTGCAAAAGTGCGTCGGTCTTTCCTATAACTTCTACCTGGTAAAAAAATATTTAAAATAATCTTTTGTGAAAATGTCAACTATATATGGTTGCGGATCTACACAAATTATTTTTGAATGTGTAGTGTGTCTCATTTTTACGGTGTCGCTAAATAACTGATTTTTTTAATAGAACATCCTGCATATTTTTACAAATTTCAATGTCATTTGTTTAAAGTGCCATTCAGCCATTCAACTATTCTTTTTCAAATGGAACTAGCACTATTCGCTATTCGATTGTCTTTTGTGTTCTCTTCAATTTTTATAAGGGGCGTCCCTATAGTTTTTAGGTTATTCAATTTTTCTCACAAAAGTATCTACCCATTAATGAATTACATGTTTATACATCGGAGTAGGCTGTGAATACCAGAAAGTAAACAAGTGTCACAAATTTATTATTTGCTGCAAGTGTAGGTACTTTCAATTCCGTAATAAAATATGATTATTTAAAAAGGTAAATTTCGAAAAAATGTTTTTTTAGATAAATGCGGAGAGCAGGAATTTTTTATCAAAACCATTTAAAAGAGTAGCCATTGATATCGCAGGCCTCTTCCCAGATACGGCTGCCGGAAATAAATACATCTTGGTGACCATGCACTATTTCAGTAAATGGACAGAAACATATGCTCTACCAAATCAAGAAGCGACAACTGTGGCAGACGTTCTGGTAAAAAAACTTTTTAGCAGATTTGGAATACCCCTGGAACTACCCTCTGATCAGGGACGAAGTTTTGAGTCAGCGTTATTCCAAAGCCTGTGTCGGCTATTGGGCATTCGCAAGACCAGAACCACTGATTTACACCCACAGTCAGACGAAATGGTAGAACGCATGAATAGGACAATGGGGTACCTGTCACAAGTTGTGTCCGACAATCAGCCTGATTGGGATCAATACATTTATTTGTTCCTGATGACGAACCGTTCTGCGGTGTAGGAAACTACAGGAGAGAGTCCGACTTCCGTGTTCTTTGGTTGAGAACGCCGGTTGCCGTGTTCACTGTCCAAGCCAGGCCAGGAAGTGACTGTGGGGAACGAGTACGTAGAAAATGAAAGTGCAGTACTACACGAAGGCCCACGCTGGTGGATATTAACCTGGAGATCTGGTTTGGTTGTAGCGTCCCTAGAAGAGGAGCGGGTTATTTCCGAAATGGATATTACTGGTCTTCAGAAATTTGGAATTCTATCGAACGACGGCTAATTGGAGTGATTGTTGTCATTTAAAATCCGCTTAATTCATCATTTTTGATATGAGCCTCAGGTGTTTATCACATCGTAAAACCGAGAAATTAATTAAAGAAGGTTTAAATTCCCGAATTTCCGAATTTTTGACTTTTTCTGAGTAATCGATGTCAAACAAATTTCTTCATCTTACTTAAAGTGCATGTAATTTTTTAAATTTTTTAATCGCTTTTTTACATCGTTCTAACATAGTAAAAAGAGTAAACACTGTTAGAACAATTCAATTTAACTTGTAAAATAATATTTAAAACGTCGACTTTATTCGATGTGTTTAAATTAAAATTTTGTTTCAAAATCCGATGAATTTTCTTAGGTAACAAATGGAATAATTTCCAAAAGAAATGTAAATCTATAGTAGGCGAATGGAAAGCTCTCGGAAAGACCTACATTAAAAAAATACGTCCAAATCCGAGTTCACGAGAAATCAGCTTTTGACTTCGGACTTGATTTCGACACAACAAAAAATGATTTTGCAAATCGGGTCGCATCGAACGATTCATTAAAGGGGGAGCTTTTTAATGCTTTTATTTTACCAAAATGTATGATTTTTATTAATCAGAACGCCAAGGGCCTATTATAGAGTTACCTTCCTTGTTATATTTCGGGAGTTATTCAATTTGTTAGTTAACTAAAAAAAATTCCACAGTTCATCAATTTGCAAGAATCATCGGGACAATTTTTGGAAATGGTTGTCTTAGGATTCCACCATCTGTAAACAAACGTAGAACGCTCTGGGAGTCACCCAGTTTAAAAGACCAAGTATCGTTTTGTAAATTTGTTTATTTAATTATGCAATAACTATCAAATCTACGGTGATCGGGTTTGTCATATTGTTTTGTTATCAAAAGAAGTGACCAAATACGGATTTTGAAAAAGATCGGATGAATTTTACTTAGATAGTAATAACCAATTGATCATCTTCGGGATTGCTTTTTTATATTTTTCCATAAAAAACAATAACATTTGAAAATGAACGTTTCATACCCATTGTGTCTTATAGAAAATTCAATTCTAAACCAATTCATTTCTCTTCATTTTTTCCCTTAGAGTAATAGTTAACGAGATAATTGAAGTCAAATGCGAAAAGAAACGACATCTTGCCATTTTTTCATCGTTTTTTGTTTATACATAACAATATATTCCGGGAGTTTTCGGCTAGGGGGACTATGGGTTTCGGATTCAGCGGATGTTTTTACATAGGAGACACTTGATTTCGTTGAGTGAAATGACAACACCCAGCTCCACCTGCCCAAACTGTAATTTGACTGCACTAAGTACGAATATTGACACAACAAATGCGATCGCGTGGCATTTGACGTCACTTTCATTCGTCCAATAGTGAAGCGTTTTGCAAATTTGAATTTCGTTCGCTTATTTTGCACTTTTGAATTAACATTTTTAGCAATTAAAAACAAACTAAATAAGAAACTAATGGTTTAAGTATAATGTCAGGACAATAATAATATTTGCTGGAGAAAGAATCAAGTAAATTTAAACCACATGCATATTCCCTATTATATAAACCTATTATAAAGGGTGGTTTTCGTTTCTTTTTTTCCCTTCCCAATATGATTAGTCAAGTATTTACGGTTCTCGCTTTTGGAAAATAGTTGCCTTCCGTGTATAAATTTTTCTATTCGTACGTCGTTAAAACTTTAACAGCAAATAGCAGCGTAATTCTAACGATAAAGGACTAAAGGAAGATGAAACGTTATAAGAGGTACACGAGCAATTTTTCCACTTTGGTTCAACGGCTCTTTGCAACTCGAGATCCTAAACTTGTTTAGCTGAAAAACGAGATGTAAAGGCACCTTTCGGTAACATTATTAGATACCACGGCAATATATGGGCAATATCGCCCTTAAAGGTTTGCATAAGTCTTCCAGTAACGCATGTAGTTGTATATTATAAAAGTTTAATTAAAAAATCAAAGCTTATAACCAGACGCACAAAAAATGCAAATTTAAAATACCCGTCCAAATTACGTATTGTAGCATACGAGCTTTCTCCCTATTTAGTATGGTATTTATCTTCATATTACTAATTTATGTTACACGAAACTTTATACGAAAGAAACTTTTCAGTGACAGCGACATGTTGTTTGGCATTAATAAAATATGTAATATCGTGTCCTGAATATTTAGAGCATTTTCAAGTTTCTGATATTTGCTTTTGTATTTTACACTAAGCGCCATTTTGAAACTTTGAGTAACTTTAAATTATGTAAAGCTATGCAAAGTATGGACTGTGACATGCTTGTAATGATAGGTTGTGTTGAGGGATCTTGAAAATTTCTAATTTCATAAGATTCGGGAAATTTATAGGTATCTTAACGCTAGAGCGGTCCCATAGATTCCACACGTAAGCGCGCGATCTTTCCTACAGAGGGAAATGTAGACATTCATTATAAGGAACCGTTGAGAATTTTCACCGGGAAAGATCTCCATTGCGCAAGTTTAATTATATATTTTTAATACTTGTTTTTGTCTTTCAGGTCAAGAATTGGACCATATGGTATAGTTCCGTGAACGTAGAGAGCAAATAAAAGGTATGGTAGTAACATTTAATGGCTAATTATGCCGATATGAGAGCATGAAATTTTTATTAGGGATTTTATAAAATTTCCCCAACATAGCTTTAGTAATTCTATACCCGATAGGAACGTGCTTTCATTATCGCAACTTCTATTATTACAAAGAAAACTTTTAATTCATCTCTCGCGATGGGTTTGTTTTAAGTTTCGTTTCTATACGCTGGTTAAATTAAGCAGATAATGACTTGAGGGTTCACCAGTTAAATTTGGTAAAATAATTTACTAATTAATATCGTTCACATTGGTTTGATGAATGGATTTTCATATCAGGAATTGAGGATGTATGAATTTAAATTACTCTAAATATCAAATAACTTTTCACAGTTTGTCCGGCCTCTATTACAGTACTTGATCAAGGTGGCAGACTCGTCTGCCAATTTGGGTCCCACTGCCAGTTCAAGTTTGTGCGCGGTAAAACGGTTTAATGTGTGAAATCTTACCTTAAATACCTGTATGCATTGATAAACGTTAAAAAAATCAATAGATTTTCTTTAAATGATAAGGCAATACATGCAGGACTGCAGGATTGGCATGTTTTAAACAAAATGTTTAAAACAAGTTTTAAAAACCTGTATTTTAAACAAAACAATTAAAACAAAAAAAAACGTTTTAGGTAAATGTTTTAAACGGCGTTTTTTTTTGTAACCCTTAAAAATGGTTTACTCTGCAAATTTAGACGAGCAGAGAACTGAAAACTAAAACGTCTTTTTAATAATTTATTGTACTGTTGTCCAACTGAAATGGACAACTTTAAAAATATTAAATTCGTTTCGACCAAAGAATTCAATTCAATTTTGCTGGCTGCTTTTCAAAATTGTAAAGCTATCAAGAGTACTTAAACATTAAAAAAACACAAATTAATATTAAACAATTTTAAACATAATTTTAAACACACTTTTAACACCATAATAAAACCTGTTCTAAAAAAAATTTTTTTTGTACAAATCATGCCCGTAGTGCCCATAGTATGGTTATACTATAATAAATTCTCTTTATGCCGAAACTCTTCATCTTCTGATTGTTCCCTGCCTTTGCATCTTCTGAATGTAGGGGAACTAGTTGATGTATTGCTGTTTTTCCCCTTTTTCTGTCTGCCATTTGGGTTGTTACTACTCGTGCTATATTATCTTCTGCTGGATGAGTTGCTAACTGTTTCTTGTAACGGATGCATCTTGAACATTTCCTTATTATTCCTTGAGCAGTTCTTCTTCTCAGGTATTCCAAGGTGCTCTGTAGTCCTCCATGCAGTGTTTTCTGGTGTGTATCTACTATTAATAGATGTTCCAGATGTGACTGTGCTTCAATGATGCACGGGTGCTTCTCATTGTATGTTAGTAGAGAGATGGATAATCTTCCTCCTACTCGCAGTAATCCGTTCTGGTCTAAGAATGGATTTAGGGATGTGATTTTGCTGTCTGTTGTTATCTTCTTGCCTTTTCTTAAGGCTTGTATTTCGCTCTGGTGAGTTTCTTATTGTGATCTTCTTATTCTGCTGGATCAATCCTGTTTTCGACTGTTTACTTCTGGTTCTTTCTACAGTATGATATCAACCGATTGCAGTATGCTATCACTCTGAATATCTTTGTTAGTGGCTAGAATCTTTCTTGCATCCATAGAACGTCTTCCATGTGCTTGGCTCTCCGTTTATCCAGGCCAGTGTAATCATTGAATCTGTCCATGCGAAGATGGTGGCTTTTTTTACCTGGAGTGCCGTTGTTGCTCTCTTGATCAGCTTAGCTAGTAGTACGGCTGCACATAATTCTAACTTCGGTACCGTTGGCTTTGTTCGTGCAGGGGATTCCTTGGATTTTGTCATTAACAGTGACACTTTTCCTTGGTTGCTTTTGTGTATACTGCCGCACCGTAAGACTTTTCTGATGCATCACAGAACCCATGTATTTCCAATGTTTCATTCTTCTTATGTATCCATCTTGGGATTTGAATCTCCTTGAGTGAACCAATGTCGGAGGTGAACTGCAGGCATTCCATCCTCAAACTTCCAGATACCTTTTCGTCCTATGAAGGGTTTGTTAACCATAATTTTTGGTTGAGCAACTTTGCCATTATGGTTAAGAGTTGCAACCATCGTAATGGAGCTTCTGTAATCTTCAGTGGCTGATGGTATTGGCTCGAAGAACCATGAACGATCTGTTGTATACTGGAAGACTGCTAGTTCGGGGGTTGCTAGTTGAGGCTGTCCATCGTCACTTGCACACATTGAAGATTGGAAACCTTGCAACCCTTATGATTACACGACATTCAAATCGATAGTAGTTTTATTGAGCATTATTTCTAATTTATATATACAAATTGATTATGACGTATTTGTTCTGTCCTTATTTCTTATTACATGAATATTGTCATACGCATGCAATTGAAAATTGATGTCTTTGTAGAATACCTGTGTTAAGATTGCCTGCTTGTATTTCACAACTATTAATTGCTACCTTATGATAATGTAATTGCCGCAACTTGCTCTTCTGTTTAATATCTTTTGATATAAACACTTAGACAGAAAAGGTGATCTCGACAATCTCTAATCAGAAAGTACGTCGGATGGCAAGTCTTTAAATATATTTTTCAGTTTTTCAATTTTTCGGTGGGTGTATTTCCACCTCGCTGGCCAAAACTCAATTTTGTTAAAATACGATATTTCTCAAGTTGCTTATGACGAAAAACCGACAGGAATCGCAAATCGTGACACAAAATCATTTCCATCGGTGCACATTTTAATTATTAGAGGCAAATTCGTACCCTTTTCATAGAATAAAATATCATTAAATTACTAACTGTGCGAAACTGCCGATAGTTAAGTGCAAAAATTCGGTAATTAAAATAAGAAGGGTCAATTTAAATTTGTGAGGTATTTACAGTCGCCGCGCTCTCCAATTGAAAACGTACTACGTAAAATAAAAGGATCAGAGAATTAAAAGGAAAGGACGTGGCAATTATCTTGATTGCCAATTCGAACAATTCGCAAAAGCGTAAAAACGGAAGCGTCCGCCGCTCAAAAAAATGTCAACAGCATAAAAGGACAATTCAATATGATGGAACGCACCTCAATTTTACTATTCCATTTCCATTGTTAACCAGTTTTATACAATGGGACGCCCCGAGTTTCGCCAAAATATTTCGCAATAGGAGAAAGAATCAATTTAAAACGTCTAAAAAAAAAATCTTCCCGAACAAAGTAACAAAAAGGTATCAGATAACATCCGGCATTGAATTACCAGATTCAGTGTTTTTGCGGTTCCTCGAAATTTATCTGAAAACTTCCAACTAAGAAGTGGATTTTTATTATTTGGTCTTTTGTTAAAAAAAACATAACGTCGTAATAGATCTAAACCTGATCATTTTTAGGCAAAATCCTGTAAAATTACTTCCGTTGGCAATTATTAATGAAGTTTAGTTAGTGAAGTTCGTAAACGAGATCGAAATAGTTCGAAGGGAATTATATCCTTATCTTCAATGCATGTATTAAACATGTACGCAATTATAATGTAGACAGCAAAAAGGAGGGTCGTATCATGCGAAGGGTAGTAAATTTAAGCTTTACAATATAGTATCACAATACTGCTGAAAATGGGATCTGAGTTCGACCTAAATACCATCACATAAACGTATGGAGAATGTATAATATCGGTTAGTTACGGAGATCAATTTAAAGGGATCAATTGTCTTAGTACCACAATGGAGAGTGTTTCTTTCATCTTGGAGAAACTCATTTTCAAGAGCCAGAAACAACGTAGGGGAAAGTCGGGTAAGTTAACGATGTAAAGGAAATATATTAATTGTTGTCAAACGGTTAGTTATTTTTAAAAGATCTTTCAATTTTCAGAAGTTTGATTATGATTTCTATGGCTTCTGCTATAAAATAAAGTTTTTTATTATCGAAACATCTCTTTATCGTCTTGTATAACTATTCATTAAATAATTTAAACAAAAAATCATTTGTTCTTATTCTAACTAGACACTAAATCAGATGAATTGCAGTCTTGTTTACTAGAAGGATAAAAAGTTTTCACCCATAATCAATTCATATTTGAAAATACAAAAACGTCATTAAGAAGAAAATTATTATACCCGTGTCATTTAAGCAGTATTTTCGCAAAGAACTTTTTTCAAATATCGTGAGATTCATTACGTTTATCGTGAGATCGTGAGAAAACATGTAAAATCGTGAATTCTCACGATAAATCGTGAAATCTGGATTACAACTTGTAACTTATTCGGCGGAGCAACGTGTCTCGCTTTCCCTATTATTGCGAGGATTTGCTTGCAAGTATTGATAGTATTTTCGGGGTAACTGTCGGTAACGGTCTCTTGGTTGTGGTAAGTAGTTTTGTCTGCCCCGACTGGATGTGTTCTGCGTACGAGGCACGAGGCGAGGTACGAAAAGTCATTCGCCTATAAGAGTCGTAGGAATAGTATCCCGGCATTTCTTATTTAGCTCGGACGCCACTAAAAATCTTGATTTTGGAATTTAATTTAGGTACCCCAACGAGCTAATAGTTTTCTGCTGATGTGCGTTTGATTATTAAATCTTTGGCCACTTGGATCAAAGCCCGATTTAAAGACGCTTTCCCAGCGTGAAATTACTTCGACATAATAGTTATTTATGTCTTACTAACCTATCATAGCACATTTTATATCTGTGATACGCGGGCATAAAGTACCACTTTATGCCCTAGGGCATTAAGTATCACCATAGTAACTCATTTATACTTTAATGACAAAACGAACAAATATTTGCAGGTCATTGAAAATTAGAAACGTCAATTATTAATTGTCATTACCTACTAAATCACAAGATTGACCTTATTTCGAATAGTTTCTGGAACTTCTTGCTCATTCACGATAAATTGAATTATTTAAAATTACGTTTGACGTTTGGATGGTTTCAATCACATTAACAAATATGAACCACGCATACTCGATCAAACATAATAAAGATA